TCCGTGAAGAATTTCTTCCTAATGTCCAGTCTAAACTTGCCCTGTTGCAACTTGAAACCATTGCCCCTGGTTCTATCCCTAAATACCTGTGAGAAGAGACCAGTGAAATGAGCAGTTCAGGGCACGTGGCCTAAGGGAGATGAGGGATATTTTCAGACAGATTAGCAGAGAACGAAGACCGCCACAAATAAAAGAGTTCCAACCCAACTCAACTTCATTAAGAATCAAAATTGTTAAGAATCATAGAATGCCTTAGGTTGGAAGGGAGCTTAGAGATCAGCTAAGCCAATCTCCCTTAACCAGCCCAGGTTGCTCCAGGCCTCATCCAACCTGGCCTTGAACATCTCCAGGGAGGGGGCAGCCACAGCCTCTCTGGGCAACCTAGTCCAGAGTCTGGCCACCCTCGCGCTGAAGAATTTCTTCCCAAGATCCAGTCTAAACCCATTCTCCTTCAATTTAAATCCATCTGCCCTTGTCCTGTTGCTGGACACTTGTCAAAAGTCCCTCCCCAGCCTCCCTGTAGGTCCCTTCAGGCACTGCAGGCAGGGATAAGGTGCCCCCGGAGTCTTCTCCAGCTGAACACCCCCAGCTCCCTCAGCCTGTCCTCGCAGCAGAGCTGCTCCAGCCCCTGGGTCAGCTTTGTGGCCTCCTCTGGACTCGTCCCAACAGCTCCATGTGCCCCTTACGGTGGGGACACCAGAAGTGGGTGCAATATTGGAGGGGGGGTCTCAGCAGAGCCGAGCAAAGGGGGAGAATCCTCTCTCCTGCCCTGCTGGCCACACTCCTCTGGATGCATCCTAGGTTGGAAAAGACCTCTAAGATCATCTAGTCCAACCGTCTACCCATACTATCTTGCTGGGCTGAACTCTAAAGGCCACTGACAGGCCTGCCCTTTGCATGAGGCAGCCAAAATTGAAGGTGGTGGTTCCCGATGAGCCCTGTTGGCTTAGGCAGCATCGAAATGCTGTGTGTCTCGTCACAAAATTGGTCCCTGGAGGGAAAGTTCCCTCCTCCATGGTGCTCCTCTCTGTGTGACAACAATGTACTCTGCAGCGGGTACTACGAGTCATTTAGGAGAATGAGCCCCAGTAGGAAACTATCCAAATGGATAAGTCAGAGGAAGGAAATTCATTTTGATGTGGGAGATGCTGTCCTCATTAAATGAGAGGAGGTACTTTGTTTAAAAAGCACATCCAATCACTCAAAAATAAGGTATTGCTATCAGGTTTTTAGCCTAGTGCTCTGTACATACACCACTAAGAGCAGAGGCATGCATCACTAATAATGCAATTAAGGCCCAGTGACAAACAATGCTGAACAGGTAATAGGTAAAAAAAAAATAAAAGAGGGTCTGCCCTTCAATTTGACCAATTCAATAAATAAGAAAGGTTTGAAAAGGTCTTAAAAACTGACCCTCAGAATTGTTAAAGTTGGACATTGTAACAACATTTTGCAGTGTCCAGGATGGTGTTGAGCCTTAGGAGCTTTCACTGCCCATCAGAATTTATTGCTATGCAGTGATTTGCGTAGCAAAGATTTGTCCTTTTGTCATTCGTATAACTGGCTTCTAACAACTTTCCACAAATATCACACAAATCTAAAGACACTGCGAGAAGGGCAGCACGGTGAACCAGACGTGAGCTTTCATTTGCTATGGTTATAATAGCTCCAGTATGGATTTTTTTTCTTTTTTGACTTGAATGGCACACCAAGAACTAAATTATTATTGAAATTATTACTATGAAATAGGTGCAGAAGTAGTAAAGCACTGTCTGTGCGGGCTAGAGATTATTTCTGTTTTAAAGACCTCACTGTACTGTCGTGTATCTGGACGAGTCGAAATGACACCTTCTGCGCTTTAATTTTGGAAGGCTCTGAAGAAAACTGCTTCTAGGGGAACAGCTTGTTGAGCTACAACCGGCTGAAATAAAACACACCAAAAAGAGGGAGGAAGAGGTATCCTACAAAAATATCAATGTTAAAGATATGCTCTGCTAGAAAGGGATGCGCATAGTGTGAAACAACATAAAGAACCATCTTTATCCATACTTTGGAGTCACGCTTGCACGTGCCTCAAATTTTCCAATAAATCTCTGATTTCGTTTCACAATGAGCTCGTGACACACAGCGGTCCAGGATGGAATTTCATGCCAGTGATCGTGTAGCATCTGGCCAAAGGATAGCTAAAGGGCATCCGTAGTGCTTTTCAGGATAAGATTACTTGTGCAATACTTCCCCATTTTGATGTGCGCACCACGACTTTTTCATCTATGCTACTTCAACATTTTAAGAAATCCTCATACATCTGAAGTTTACAGCCATTTTCAGGATCAAGTCCAGGCTGTTGCTATGGAAACAGACATATTCCCCCAAATACCTCTCTCTCTCCTACTTTTTCTGCTCTAATCATCTAATTTGCAAGTGATTCATACAGAAAAATATCTTTGTTCTTTTTCTTAGAAAATGTGACACATTTCATCTTCTTCTCACTAAGTCCAGTAACAGTGTTCTTCTAAATTTAAATGTTATAAGCCGGCGGTTAGACAAAATTATTTTATAATTCAGTACACCTTTGCCTTATTTTTTATCTTAAATACCCCCCATTCTGCAAGCAGAAGAGAGAACACATTTGGCTTGATGGTGAAAAGCATGAGATTTATACTCACTTTCCAATTGCATTTGGCAGAATTGTAAGTTGATTGTCATCTACTTTTAAAGTTGTAAGCCTTTTCAACAGTCCTGCGAAACAAGTAAGGAAGTTGTAAGAGAAAAGTATTCCACATTAATCTTTTTTTCCTTTCTGTAATCTCTTGTATCCTTAAACAAGTGTCTAACACTCAAGAACCTTGATCTAGATTTTAGAAAACATCTGTATGTAGGACAGTACAGGGACACAGTCTTGTCACACTGAAAATATGTTTTAAATAGACTGAAGCACTGATTAAAAGTTGAGCTGCGAAATACTAAGTGTATTTCTGGAGTCTTGAAAAAAATGTAAAAAAAAAAAAAAGAAGAAAAAAACCCAACCTCCCACCTGTGTAGGAAGAGTGGTATTTCTGCTTATCAATGTTTCAATGGAATTCAAGCTCTGTTGCCTTGAGGGAAGGATGCTCAGGTCAGAACATGAGGTGAATTATCTGAAGTAAATGCTTCATGTACAAACTTCCCAATAGGCAGATATAGACAGAAACCCAGAATCAATCCTGAATGCATTTGTCAGTGCAGTTAATTCTTATCATTAAAAGAATAATTACATACCTAAGTGTAAGCCCATGCATAACTGGGTAACAGTTACCAAAAAGGGAGGGAAACTTCCGCTTCACCAGTGTGTAATAAAAAAGTAAAGGCAGAAAAAATGGGAAAAAATTGCATTGCAGTGCTAGAAACGGAACCTTAAACAGATTTCCACCTGCTGGAATTTATTAACATTTCAAAATCTTCTTTTTTTTTTTCTTTTCTTTTTTTCCCTGAAAGAATTTTGGATATACTGAAATATCATTGTTTAAATGATTATTTGCAATTAATGTTGGCGAGAATATAAATTAATCACTAATACAGAGAAAAATGTTAAGCTGGATGTGCCACAATATGAAAGCCGAAGGAAAATAAGTGTTTAATTAAAAGGGATGCTAGAAACACTGCTCATTTCAACTGCAAAACATTTTTGTTGATTCTTTTTCTCCCAAATCAGCACATTCCAAGAAACATCTAGATCTCAACAGGATTTTCTTTTAAGAGGAAAAAGTTCTGCCAAAATGAATTTCAGCAAGCTCTCATCTGAAAATGCAGGATTAAAATTACTCCTTTTGCTTTACTTCTCTTAAATCTATAACCACTTGGTGACAGGAATTTGGAAATGAAACCTGAATATATCTAATTGCAGAAATGCACATTTCAAATTGTAAACACTCCTTCCTTTTGCACAGGGTGTAAATGCCCTTTAAAAGGGCATATGCATATCAGAAAGTCAAATAAAGCAAAAATTCTGGGATTTATGGTGAGATGTAGAAGACCCAAATGGAAAGCAGCTGTCAAAGGCACCGAGTAACACGCACGTAGCGCAGGGATTAATATGTTAACTATGTACTAATTAGCATTGCATTTTGGAATCTTGACTAAGTTGATTTAAAATTGGGGAAAAGAAGAGTTCCTTGTTCAAAGGACTGCACTTCAGGAAGTTTAAAAGGTGACGATGATACGGCAGGCTCGTCAGCTGGAAGCAAAAGAAGAAAGACCTCACGTGTTTCCAAAGAAAACCTAAGGGATCGAGACTGAAATGAACTATCCAGATGCACAGAGTGAGGTACCTAGAAGCACTTAGCTTCCAGAATTTTGATATATTCTAAATTATTCAGGAATTTAAGCACTCAATGTGGTAAGAAAAGAAAATGGTTTGAACTGTTCCTTTGTTTGATGTCATGTGGAATTGCAAAATGGTAACTGAGAGCAGTAATTTCTTTCAAGACTCTCACATCGTTAACACACACCCTGTTATACTCCCTTTCGAATTTGGATCAGATCGATCATATCAGCTTATTTTCTTTAAGATACCAAATCAGAATATTCAGTATCTCCTAAGCATTTACAAAATGGTCCTCACAAACTGCCCAGACACAGATGTTTCAAACTCTTTTGGAATTTCATGGCTGCTCTTGTTCCAGCTATTATAGAGTCTAATAATTAAAAACCAAACAAACGAACAAAAAGCTATGCATGAAATCCTCAGCTGTAAATTTTAGAAGAAATCCTGAGCTTGTCTCACCTATGGAGTCTGGCAGTTGCTGCAACATATTAGATGATAACAGGAGATCTTCAAGTCCTTCACATCCTGAGATGTCCAAATCAATAGTTTCTATCCTGTTTTTTGACACATCCAGGTACACGAGCTGTTTTAACTTCCCTATAGACTTAATAGCACGTTACAAAGTGTTACTTGAACAGATACACACTGCACACCAGTTTCTACGCATAATTAAAGACAAACAATAGTAATGCAGGCTTGCATTCAGTTATCTCAGCATCCTTTTCTACATCCTTTTATTTCACTGAAGTAATATTGGGGGGGAGGGATCTAACTGCCTTCCCTCCAGATAACTGCAAAAGGAACTGTCCCAAACTCAACTGATTCACGTGTTCCAGATTCATGATCTCTGCCAAAAATTTGAGCTATCAGTCATACAGCTGTATCATTCCATCATTTGGACACAGAGCCAAGAGGCATTTAGTCCCAATTCCCATCGACTCACCAGTCCTCGAGATTCCTCAAGGCTGGGCATGCAGGTGAAGCTTTTCTGCATCAAACGGATTCTCTGAATTTTCTACAATCTATATTAGACTTTAGATATTCATAGTTCAATTCTGAGCGGTTAACCCCCATCGGACACTTTCGTAAATACAGCGTTTAACTGCAGCGTTTATCTGCAGCTCTAACATCACCGACCAACGTGACAGAATTCCCCCCCAATTTCTTTGAAATCTGTGTAGCCTCTTAAGAGCGTGAAACCTGTAGAAGCAACTTGCTCATTGATCCATCAGCACAAGAGGGTCACATCATTCTAGACATGGAATTTCACCAAGAAAATCAACCATAACCCATTCTCCTTAAATGACAACCTGCAAGTGGATCAGCATACCACTTTTAGTGGTTATTTACTGTGCACAGGAAAAAGGAAAATAGTTTCAGAGAGCTTCATCTAGAGGTACTTTTCAAATAATATGATCGTAGCTCGCTTATCACCTCTTACCCTGCTGAAATCTGCTCTGTGCTTCCAAGAAGGCACATTATCTTTCGTCTGAGTTGTTTTATAAGGGGAAAAATCCAACTTTGCCACTCTACCTATGTCAATAGTTGAGCGTAAACTTGGTTTCTAGTACAGGCTCCTTTATAAAAAACTAATTATTGACATCAGAAACCTGGCAAATCTCTAAATCTTGAAATCAATTACAAGTTGGTATTTCCTTTCCATTTTTAAAAGTCAAAATTTAGAGCTAATATGTTTTAAACCTCTTGTAGCAGAGAAGACTTGCATAGAAACTTCATTTAGGGTCTACTAAAATGAGATTCAGGAAACACGAGTTCTTCACTGAAAATAATTACGCTCCCTGGGATTTGGCTCCGTGATCTACTGAACACCTAAACACCCTCTCCAGGGATTCTGAGAGCTCAGCAGGACTGCGTCTGGAACCCATTTCAGCTATAGATACATCAACCAACTCCATTGTGAATAGAAGAAAAAAAGCATAATGGTTAAAATGTTTGTGCCTGCACTTTCTTGTGGATCTGATAGTTCTTCTGCTCAGTCGTACTGTAGCAACAATAGTGCAATATTGCTACTCTTCATCTCCAGCTGGTTTCAGTTTCAAGAAGTGGTTTCGATATCAGCTCTTTTTTATTTTTTTCCCCATTAACAAAGCACTCAAAAAGCAGATATTTGGGCAGTGACTGAAAAAGCTCATCTTCTGTGCAAACATCCTGCTTAACACCAAATATTCTATCCAAGTCAAAAACCTGTGATTGCTCAATGCAAAAAACCTGGATTTTGACTAACAAAGCTGAAAGAGGAAGTACTTATTCCAACACCTAGCCATGTTTGTGCTCAATCCAGTTCCACATTTCCCACCAGCAATGAAGAACATTAGCGTATGAAACCTCTGATAAGGTGCTAACGACGGGGATCCCTTTCTCCAGTCATACTCACTGCAGGTATTTTAGAGTGATAATCTCAATTTATGGCGATAAAACCTGAAAATCAAAGTCCTACTGTGGGAGAGCAACAGCTCTGAAAAAGCACTAATACAGAACTAGACCCAAAGTTTAGATTGTCAAACATGTTTTGTTCTGTTTCTGAATGGAGAGCTTTCCAGAGAAATGGATCTTTATTCCACTGCCTCAGAATGGCTTTTAGCATAGTTGTATCTCTCCATACCACCTCTTATTCTGATATTTATTTAGATTACTTGATATTTCCTCTTTCTTTTTAAATCTCAGGGTTTAGGGGTTTTTTTATAAAACTGTTACCTGATGCATGGGGACCAAGAAGACAATAGAAAAACAAATTTGCCATACAATAAAAACCACATGATGCTTAAATAGAATCCCCATTTAGACACTATTATGTAATAACACAACAATTAAAAGGCTTTCGTGTGAACGGCTATGCCGAGACTTTTATTTCTCGCTGCTCATTCATGACTATAGGAACTAGGAATATGTACTCATTCGAGAAAAGCACATGCATTTCTTTACTGCAAGGTAAATAGTTCACTGGATCACACGATAATCTGAATACATAAAATAAATGTTCATACCCCAGGTAGTATTTGCAAAGAATTATTGTCCATCCACAATTCCTTTAGATTCTGTATTTGTTCGAGAACCTCAGGCTGAGGAAAAGAACACAGCATTATTGACAGTTAAATAAAAGTTGTTTTTTCTTTAGTTAAATATACATTAGTATTTTCTAAAAAATAATAAATAAACTCCCTTCACCTTTTCTTTCTTTTTCTAACCCACCTCAGACTTTCAGGTAGTTAATCACAGGAATAGTATACTCATTTCATTTAATTTAACCGCTGTTGCTCTTTTTCAAGACTTAGAAACTTGAAAAAGTCTTTGGAAAAGAAATGAATACAAAGAAGGACACCTCGGAGGTTCATGTTCTAACAGTCTCTCGGTCGTACGCCATTCCTAACAGGGCAAGTAAAGAGAAGTGAGAATCGTGGAGCTTCAGAAACGCTGCACAGAGAAGAAAGACCAGATCTCATCTTGCAGCACGTGCAAAACTCTGCCTTTTTGCACGATTTATAGTCTCAAAAATAGCTTCCCAGAGTCACATTGCTGAACATTTCCTTGGCCATTCCACACTTATGTACGATTTAATGTCTGCAATTGTCATATTCAGCAGTTAAACCAGCAGTGCACAATGATAAAGCCTTAAAACTACAATATTAAACTTTAATCTAAGATGTTCTATTCTTTTCAACACTACAGGATATTAGTGAGAGGACTGGAAAAGGCAATTCCCCAAATCATTTCTCATTTGTTAGAGCTGGGAAAATCAAGAATTATCAGGGCAGAAACACTTCCCTGCCTCAGCCTAAGCAGCATTTTTCTCTCATGGAACATTGTTTCCACAGGTATTTGCAGAGATTTTTTTTTTCAAAGTCTGCCAGAAATTTCTATTAAATATTTCATCTGCTTCTGACTGGAGAACATTCTAGCATTTTAAAAGTCTGTAGTACTACTGCACCAGAATTATTTCAACACAACTAGAAATAAGTGTACCTGTCTAGCATCACGGGACCTCAAGTGAGACCTCTAATTATCTCCTGTGGCCTAAGCTCTTTAGAATGCTGTAATTCCCAGAAGAAATCTGATTTTCCTGTTGCCCAGGTCACACAGTACATTATGGGAGAAGCTCCTGATGAATCTTAATGAGAAAGAATCTGCAAATTGGGAGAGCTCAATCCCTCAGATTTCCATGCTGTCACATAATGGGTTTTTATTAAAAAATTACTAGTCGATACTTTAAAGATAACTTATTTTGCCTTGGCTAATTCTACTGAGATTTTGTTGCCCTTCAATGGTTAAACCCACTTCTGATTTCCAGGCTAAACTGATCAATGGTCATTTCATCCTATTTTTTCCTGTGATGATGAACATTTCTTTATTCTTCCAGAATGTTCCTTGACTAAGGTTATTATAGATAATCACAATTTCCCCAGTCAATTTTAATTTTCTTTTAAATTCCTCTCGTTAGACAGATGCCCTCCTCAAAGGCAACAGACTGCTCCGATGTTGTGCATATTACGGTTCCAGCTGAAACTTCTCGAGCATGGATTATGGTATGCCTCTATCAGTATCAATACAATTACCAATACTGATTATGGTTAAGCATCCACAGAATCACAGAACTTTGGGGGTTGGAAGGGACCTCTAGAGATCATCTATTCTCAGACCACACTGAGAAATAAACCCGTACAGACTCCAAAACTGCTCACGCCAGAGCAGTATTCGCCGCTTCAGCCCATGTCTTTCAAGCTTCCACAGAGAGCCAGGTTGGAAGGACTGCTCTGGAATGAGATGATCTTTAAGGTCCCTTCCAATCCAACCCAGGGAGAGTTGTCTTCCACATCTTGAGGAATACACAGCAAAATCTTACTGCAGACAGAGTAAAGCTATACATTTAGCATATCCAAAGCCATCAAAGGAAAACCTAGCAAGCTGTCTCAGGCAAACCTGAGAACTTACAATGATTACAAGACTTTAAATATATTTTTATTCTCTGCTCATTACGCTAAATGCTAGTATTGTTTTCCAACCCGATATTTTCAGGCTTGGGGCCACGTCAGTCCTCAAGATTTAAAAAAAAAAAAAAAAAAATCTCATTGGTGCTTTATCTCAGACCAAAGGGTCACTTTTTACTACCTCCTGAAAAAAATGTACCCACATCCATCCCAAACCCAGCTCATCTGCTGCAAGGCAAATGCACTTCTGACAATCAGGTCATTTTTTGTGTGGTTCATCAAGTCCATTGTTTCCAAAAGTAAATACCCATTATCCTCAATAAGCGAGTAGTCATTCCCTCTCCTTAAATCAAGGGCTTTAAAGATGATGGGGAAAGGCTGCTTGGTTCAGTCACCCTGAGAAAGAGCAACCAGCCTTTGTGCTGTTGTATTTGCAGGAAGCTCTTGTTCTTATTCTAGACAGGTTTTGGGTTGTTTCCCCAATGAGAGGCATTATAAGAACCCAAGAGAATAAAGAACTCCCACAAAACCCTGCAACAGGGTGTGAAAGCAGTTACACGACTTCCACGGGCTGCTGGAATGGGACAAATGGCAGCCTGAAGACAGCAGAAGAAACCAGAGCTCAGGAAAAGGAGTAGAGCTTAAGGAGATGTGGCCTCAGAGGGCTTCCAGATGTTAAGATCTCCTGCTCTAGCTCCCTTCTCAGACAACCGTTAAACTTCCCCCAGAGGGCTCCCAGCTCCAGCCAACTGGCACATTTGCACGGAGGAAAATAATTCACATCGGCCGTGTGGCAGACAGAGCTTCATGGCTGAGTTTAAGTCACTCATAAAACCAGCTCTTGAGAGAATATATGTCATATCTTGACTTGAAAATGCAGATTATTTTTCCTCCCCTCAGTACTTCTAAATCACTAAAAGATGGTGTTAAATTCAACTTCAGTCCACCTACGTCAAGAAATGGTATTTATGGTATATCAGATCTCACTGGTGTTTTACTAAACGGTGTTAAAAACTGATTTCTCTCTGTTAGAAATGCTTCTGATGATGCATTTTTTTGAGAATATTTTCATTTTCCATATGGATTGCTACAAGAATGGAATGGAATGGAATGGAATGGAATGGAATGGAATGGAATGGAATGGAATGGAATGGAACAGATGCTGCAAAGACTGGGAGATTTCAAACCCTTGACCCAAACCTTGTGATTTAATGCTCCAGCTTTCCCAGAGACCTGTGGCACAGATGACCTGTTCCCTTCCCTGACTGCGCTAAGTCACTTGAATATGGCTGCTATTTAAGAAGGGACAATTTCTATTTTAGGCACACGTATCTATCTCGTGTTTTGTATAATCTTGTTTCCAGGAAATGAGCAAACAGAATTACTTCATTTTTTGCAACCATCTTTATTCTTACTGCTCCAGACTGTCTGTGCACAGAGCACAGAGTCTTCCAGTGCAAAGGAGGGACTTCAATAACCCGTGATGGACTGTCAAAGAAATTAATCTCTTCTACACCACCACAGGTCTGGGCAGTATTTTTCTCTATTAAAACCCAAATCAGATTTTCAGAATCTACAAACACAGGACCTTTCGATCCTTTTCTTCACGTGATCTTGGTTTGAACTAGTGCCACTTCCCTATGACACTGCAGCATATTCGTGCTGTCCCCCTTGCCTCCTGACTCATTTTCCTTCTGGATTTTGATTCTAGTTCACACATTTATGGACCAGCTTCCTGACAAACAAGTCAACTCAGGGAGTCTGGTCCTAATAGCAGTATGGGGCCACTGGATTTCTGATTTATCATTCTTAGGGGACAGTATACTACAGTATACTACAGTGGAAAACGTAGTCTTGGTTTTAAATTTCAACATCACTCTATAAAACTAAACCACCCTCCCCAAAGAGATCCTCTGAATTCACGAATCACATTTATCTGTCATATGATCCAACTTCCAAGTGCCACTTCTGAAAATTTGATTCTTTTTGCCTATGCAGAAGATTTCTAGTTTTAATTAAAAACCTGAGTTACAAACATCCGTTTTCTCCTACACAGCAGTATCAAGTATTAAACATTAACAGGGGTATAATCATCTTGGTAGATGGTGTAAACCAGATGTAGACTCTTTGCTACAGCTTTCTACTATCACATTTTGAAATTTGCTTAAAGTGAAATGGATGGAGATGTCTCAAAGAGGATGAGGCATCAATTTTTTCTAAGTTTTACTTCTCTTAATGTATTTACAGGTCCTGCAAGACGAAGTCAGTGAGCCCTCCCTAAAAACAGGCACCTTTTAAACCACAGTTTCAGCCCCCTCAAGGTGTTTCTGAGAAGTCTCAATTCCCACAGATGCAGCAGAAACATCTCTAAAGGGAACCGCGACTCGATCTGAGCATTCTGTGATCATTTCCTATACCGATCCTGGAGAAAATTCCCCAAAGCTACTACATCTCAGGGACCCCCACTCTCCCTTCAGAGGTGAGTTAGGGACAGAAATTGCTTCTGGAGTCCAAAATCTACTTCTGTTAATAGCAATCCATAATATTTGCAAGATATAATTATAGATATTATGGAATTAATACATAAGTGATGCAAGTATTTATATCAAGATCATCAGTTCATCCCACACTGAGATATTTCAGTGAGAATCCTCTGTGACCTTGATCTGAACCCCAGATGCCTGATGTAGATGAAGCATATTCTGTTATCAACATTCACCTCACGAACTAGGATAAATCTATTCTAGAAGGAAACGTGGCCATACATGACACAGTTAACGCCTTTTAAGTAAAATTTTAACATCGCACGCACAGAGCACCCCAAACATACAGGCTTTCTGCTAAAAATCTGGTGCGTTTCTTACCAGTTCAGAGAATTCATTATTGCCCAGATCAAGTCTCTCCAGTTGAGTCAGTTTGTGCATTGACCTGTAACAGAGGAGCAAATAGCCAAGATGAAATTTTTACTCACCAAATATCAAATTCTGGTTAGATTAAAAATAAAGCTCAAATGACGCGGCTGCTGCCGAAAGAACCGTATCAGGTTGATATTGATGCAAATGAGAACAATATCGTCCACCCTTAAGACATTTGGTAAAGCTCTTGAACGAAAACGTTAGCAAGGGACAGCAAAATTAGCCAAGGCAAAATCCAAATCCTTCTTCACGGCGTGATAAGAGAGTCAAACAAGAACTTGTGATATGGAGGTGAACCAAAAGTTAACATCTACCATGCTTTAAGCAGGAAAAGGCTTTAAGTGAGGAATAACTCGGGTTTACATAACAGCAAGAAGGCACTTTCATGGAAAGAAACAATGAGGTAACAGAAAAAGTGAAAAATTGCTAAAAATTCCACTATTAGATTCTTCATTTACTGAAGTCAATAGAATAAATCTCTCAGGTTTATCTCAGAATTTGTGCAGTAGAGAAACCAGTTATCTCAAGCCGAGCTCTAGCTGACAAAGGCAGGGATCCTAGCGTGGGGGAGCCTGACTGTTAAAAGTGTTTAAAATTCACCCACTTCGAACGTAGGCAAACTTTTAAAAAAACGCGCAGTTTTAAAACCTACACTTAGAACATATAACAGCAGAAGCACCGACCGAAAGAAGTAATCCCAGAGCAGCAAAGATCTTTTGGAAATGAGAGGAAAATTGGTGAACACCTTGTGAACGCGAGTTGAAGGACTGAGCTGGAAGGATGTGTAGGCTACAACTTCCCTCAGACTGGTGGAAAACCCAAGATTTTTCTAAAGCCAACTTACTACGTGACATGTGTGTACTATTTGCTACTCTGGGTCTTTGCAAAATGAAAGAGTTTCACATTTGTACAAAATCCAGACGAGGATTGCTATGACCTCCGAGAATAAGAGCGAATTCCTCATCTGAAGGACTGAAAATACCTGCTACCTGGACCTGGACCCCAGCAGCAATATTTTTCTGGTACTTCCACAGGCAATTGCTGTTCACACATGTACAGAATTACGGATTTTGAAACGTGAAACTCTGAAACTCTTCAAAGCAATGCATGGTCACCTACGGTCCAACTGAGTTGGTAAAAAAGCTGAGCATTTCACACCGTATTCCACACTCGAACAAAATTTTTCCTTTAAAAAGTTTGCACTCCTGTAAATTCATCATAAAAGGCAACTTCTACTTCAGGTAATTTCTCTGGTTGGATACACAGCTTCAGAAACTGTAACATTTATAAGCGGTTAGATGAATTTCAGTTAGCTGGGACTATATCAAAGATAACGTGCTCTGCCAAATGTACCCCATGGAATATTATATGAGATTTTTCATTAGCCTGTGATATTTTTGTCTCTTTCATGTAATTACTTACATTTTTTCTTATGAAAAGATTAATTACATTTTTCATGTGGGGTCATTTTATAAAGGAGGAACAGGAAAGGTGCAATTATGAGTAATGCTCAGTTAAATATTCATTGCTTAAATGATGTAATGTAATATAATTAATGTGCTAATAAAACTTGCAGCCAAAAATTTCACATAAATCTTTATCCATATCACACTTCGAACTGTTCTCCCATTCACGAGCAGGAATTATACGGAGAAGATCTGATTCTTGTGCACTTCATGGAAGATTCAGAATAAGGCGAATTTTTTTTTTTTTTTAAATTAAGCACGATAATGGCATATGGTTCTCAAAAACCTACAAATGCATAAAACCCAGAATAGAGAGTAGCTTAGGGAGATTACTGAATACTTCGTGAAAAATTTACATCATTCACAATAGTTTTAAAACATCCACACTCCATAAATTATAACCCACATTGTATAAATCAGCAGTATTAATTATAATTCATGGAAATCACATATATCACCCAATATAGCTCTTGCATGTTTGGTTTTGTTGCCCTATTTAGGAGGTTCGCATTTACACATTGCAAACACTTCACATAACCAGGAAAATGCCTTGTGGTTATGGTTTCTGGCAAAGCAAATGAGTCAACTGCCCTGATTTTATTATCTTTTTTAAAATGAAATCATGATATTCTCATCAAAATCCTGGTCAGCTCTCTGTCAGATGGGAGATGGTGATTACAGGAAGGTTTATCCAAACCTACAAGCACATCTGAATTTTTCCCCCACAGGAAGAACTGTCTTCATAAATGACAAGCGTATCTCCGCTAGGCAAAAATTTGGGAGTGAAAACTAGAGTTACTCAACAATAAATACAATTCAAGTGCAAGGTAAAACTGCAGAATGAACACGTGCTTCTCGCACGTCATGCTTCTACAACGACAGGACTAACACAGTTCTAATGGTCACTTACTCCTTGGGCAACAACATACAGGATTATACTTTCATTTGAGTTTATGCTAAATGTATACTATTATTTTCTGAAGAAATAAAAAATTGAAATAAAGGCGAATACGTTGCCGTTACCGGGTTACCTGCTGGGTCAGTTGCAAAGAAAGTTTTCTCACACTGTTCTGGTACACAGTAGTCTTTATTTCAAATCTATTAAAATGTCACATTTAGGGGCCTCTTCCAGTTTTAGTTTTTTAAACTTTACAGTGTAACTTCAAATTCATTAATGAGATCGTTTGGAAGTTACACTGTAAAATCAATATTTAATGCTAATAGTTTACCTAGTGCAGAGTAGTTGGCTAAAGCATTACATGACACAATCACAAAGAGCTGTTTCCTTGGACATCATGTAACGGGTTACAAAGAAAACCCAGTCTCAGTTTTCAGTGAACCTCTATCATAGAATCATAGAACAATTCAGGC